GGACAGGGTCGCTACTCTAGAAGGGTCTTCAAGGGACCCCATCCACCCACCACCCAAATCCGCAAATTCACCCCGCTCTATCTCTTCCACCACAACCACGCCAAATTTCTCCTCCTGCCATTCGGACTCGGCGGCTCCAGCTGGTAACAGCCAGCCAGCAAGCAATAGGAATCTATCCATTCATGTCTGTCCATCTGTTTCCTTTTCATCCTCAGCCCCTTTTATATCTGTCACGAGCTCGGCAAATACCAACAACTTTAGCGACATAAATTGCATGAATGATGATGAGAACGTCAACAATATTAGCAAGAATGCCAGTGACAGCAACAACAGCAGCAGCAAAAAAAGCGACAACCACAACAACAGCATTTGCGGTCCCGCAGATATCATTCCAGGTCTGTACGCCGACCCCTTTGCCGGAGTTGCTGCTGCAGCTGCCGCAATGGCCGCCATGAACCAATTCCATCAGATGCCAGGAAACCGGCCGAACCATTTGCCGGGAGGACTCTCTTTGCCCCTGGGACTGCCTGGCCAGTTTGGTCTACCAATTCCCGATGTCGGCCCCAAAAACGGTGTGCCCGTACCGGACGGAGACACGTTAGCTTTTACCCATCCTCCTTCCTCCTCCTCCAATTGTCTCAATCCCTCCCCGGCCTCATCTCCAATCTACTCATCCTCGAATTTAACAAATTCTGCTCCCTTTTTCGCGTCGTCTGCCGTGAATAATGGACAACCAGGAGTGGATGCCTTCACTTCAATGGGCCTGACCTCCAGTGCTAGACTTACAGCTGACCTTATGATAAGTCTGGCAGGATACGTGTCGCCCACGATTGGACCTGCGTCTGGGCTGGGGCTCGAGATCGGTGGACTCAAGTTGGGCGGCTCTTTGCCCATCGGCTGTGTAGCCGGATCGGGGTTGATGGGCTCCGGCGGTACGCCTTTACTGGGCTCCGTGCCGGTACCAGGTCATTGTTCCCCGATTACTTCATTGCTTCCCCCGGGGCAATGAGGCAACTTCAATTTAGCCTACCGTAAATACATTCAATAGCTGGCCTCACATTTGGTCATCAGTTTACTCTTTCCATAAACCGTCAATTTGGTGCGATTGCAAGCATTAAAGCAAGTAGAAGCTGACTACAAGAAAGCTCGAAGATAATCTTTACCCATCAATCTGTCTCTATCTCTATCTCTATCTATCTCTCTATCTCTATATATATATATTCCTATCTATCTCCCTAAATAGATAATTATAATCTACCTATATGTACACATGTTTTCATTGCAAATAATTTAGTATATAAACTTTAATTCAGAAACACGTGCTAACGGCATGGTCTCTTTCCTTACATAAGAGTGTACCTCAAAACCGATGCTCTTAGCCAAATGAAATAAAACAGAATGTATCATAATCAGGCAATTGTCACTAACCATACATTGCTGACATCAGTATAGGCAATAATGAGTATAGACAGCTTAACGTCACTACAGGTGCATGCATATATTAAATCGAGTTTTTGATCTGTCAGTTTGTCTTTTAAGATTCTGTACGACTGAAGCCTCATACAATGTATATGTCTTTGTAAAACGCATACTTACGCTGCCTATCGTCTTTACTCCCTATGAGTTTTCCCGCCTACCAGTTAAAAAACTATATAGATTTATATGAAATCCGCACTTATATATATATAAATATATATATATATATATATGGATATGTATGTATATAACTCACTATCTCATTAATTTTTTATGAATTCCTCTGGACTATAATCTTACCTCATTTCACTGTCGATCCCAGCTTTGATGAGCATATCTGTACGCCTTAAATTCATATGTGCTTACTTTTGCACTTTGCTTTTTTTATTCCTGAATTTACATGTCATGTATGCGGCCTCAAACGCACAAATGTTGGCTTCACGGGTCTAACCCTTGAGCTCTGTTTGCTCAAGTAGATTGGGAAAGCTCAGTGCTGCCGACTCCAAACTTTTCGCCCCATTGACAACTCAGCCCGGCTACTCACATGTCGCCCTCGAGATCAGATTCTTTTCTATAGGACGATTGGGAGCATTATGTCATATATTAGTTTGACCAATGCGCCCTCAGTTATGAGCCGTGGGTAAAATAAATACATTTCAGGGGTAGATAAACACAAGTTAGCCAAGTGTACTCGAACCTGGAGCCAATACTATTGCGTTTCGAAGTTACTAGCTCGGATTCAATGTATTATTTGTAAACTTACGCATAAATTCATTCATTTTTTGTATTTAAGGCACATTTTGGAGGTAAATCAAAAGTTCATTACCATACTTCACATTCAAAAGCGTTTTACAGACTTATGAGTATTTAGAACAAGCAACTTACACAATTACATCACACAAGGGACTAGAGCACAAGTCTATACTGGCTACGGTATTTGAATAAAGCTATATTGGCGAGATACGAATAATACTCTCTTAACTTCCCGAGTGATGTCTTTTTTCTTCAAAATCTTTGTCATACATGCGTTTATCCAACTTGCAGCAGGTCTATATGTTTTTTTCCATCCTATTTTGTGAATTAATCCTAACAGACATACGCTAAGTCAAATGGATAAGGATAAATTATGGCCGTTTTACCAGGCATGACTATATCTTTTAAGTTATATTTTATTTGGTAAATGGTTTATTAAAATAAAATACATTACATTCAATAGCATATCGGCACATGACGCTTAGCCACTTCTCCGAAAACTGCAATGCAGACGGTGATCAAACTGTAACTCCTTATGAGACATAAGGGAAAAGATAGTGATCTAAAATTGTATATCCTCTCTGTGCTGAAGAGAATACCATTATAATCTAGAATACTGTGACATTATTGATTGGAAGCATTAAGTTATCATGGCTTCATTAACTCATAAATATGCAGGAGTTTCACAAATTCGGCATGTGGTCTTGGACACTAATAAATAAGTGCATTGAAAAAATATTGTTAAATCATGGATAATGGAGAAAAAGTGCTAATTGATTGAACTTTAATCACTATAACGGTCCCTTGAGCAGAAAAACTTCCAAAAGATCTCATTAGATGCGTTTCCTAGACTATTAGAAGTTATTTCTCGATTACTAAACCACTTAATTGCCCAAGAAAGCTCCAAAATATATAAGTAATTTCGGATGTAAGTAGATTTCGAGATTAATTTCTTATTCAACTCATGTATATCCACGTGAACAAACCAGTCTATGAAAAATAAATTAAATTTTTCTGAGAATAGTCGAATTGCCAGGTATAGAAATGCATTCACGGAGAAAGCCAAGAGAGGCTTTGCCATCTTAGATTGACTTTCCTCGGGTTCTGAAGACACTCATAATGGAACAGGAGTCCACAATAAAAAATGAATCTGTTGGCAGCTCGCGAAAGCACAAGTATATTTTGCAATACATCTACCAAAAAGATTGCCGAGTAGAACAATTCTTTTGTAAATTTTCTAAGGGAAAGTTGGTTGGAAGGAAATCATGGTGTGGTCA